GCTGGGTTTTAAAGGATAAGTAGGATTTAAATAAATAGACATAGAGAGAGGTGAGAGATGTAAAGAAGTAAGACAGGCCCATGAGCAAAGGATGTGGGATCAATTCAGGAAACAGTAAGGAACTGGAAAAAAAAAAAAAAAAACAGCTTTCCTGGGTATTTACTGTGGGCAGGCCCTGTATTCAGCATGACAGATGCAGATAAAGTGTTTGATGAGACAAGATTCCCGCTCTCAACAAGCCCCCCAATCCAGAGGGGTAAGAAAAGGGCCATAAGCTCTCTGATGGCAAAGATCTGGTCTAGCACCATCCCTGCACTGTTTGACTAACAAAGGAATGGATGTGCTAGACACCCATAGAACACACTATGATAAAGGATACCTGCCTGGTACCCAGGCCACTCGACTCCTATCAGGGATGGGGGAGCAGCACGAGCTTCCTGGGCTGAGGTTAGTGGCATGAGCTAAACATGGAAGCCAAGACGGTGGGTAAGGAGAGGGTGTTCAAGTAGCAAAACTGATACAGAAATACTGAGAAAAGGGAACGCTTGACACATTATGAGAGTGAAGAATCCCACAAACACAGCAGTTGCCTGCTCTAAAGCTGTAAGTGAGTCACAGTATGGAAGAGTGGGCAGGGCCCTGGCCTGGAGTCATGAGAGCCAGAATCCAACCAAGGCTCAGGCAACACTCCCATGGGATGCTAAAGAAAGCAAGGGGCCTGCTCCTGTACCAAGCCTCTGCTCTGCACCAGCTCTTGGCATCCTTGGCCTCCCTAATCAGTACAACGACTCTGAGTGGCAGGTATTATTGTTTTTAATTAGACATGGAGAGAGTATAGTTAAGAAATTTGCCTTACACAAATTACAGATCATACAGCAAAGAGGGGGTATGGTTGGAATTCCAACTCAGATCTCTCCCCAAAGCCCCCATTCTTCACACACCTGCTCCTCCTGTGATAAGGGGTAATAAGATTAGCTATGGACCCACCGGCCTGGAGCAAGAATTCCGAATATATGAGCTTGCCAAACCCTCCCCAACCCATCTCTCTAAGGCCATGTGATGTGGATGAATAAGAGTCATAGAATTGCCTCTATCAAGATCCCATTGTGGAGGGACCTTTCTTTTAGTACAAAAAGAAAGAAATGCCTTTCCTAAGAAATGTCAGGTTTAAAGTACATGCGCACGTGCGCGCGCGCGCGCGCGCGCGCACACACACACACACACACACACACACACACACACACACACACACACTATGGGAATCAGGTTAAAAATGCAAACTGGGGGGTCGATTGCATTCCTGAACTTGGAGGCAGATGAACCCCAATGTGATAAGCAGAGAATCGACGTGAAACCGTCACGTGCTAGTCACAAGCAGTGGGATTGCCACCTGTCCGCAACAGTTAGCGATTGAATCCAGCTGTGACCTCCACTCTAGGAAACCCCATCCCTGCGATGCTAGGCTTCCACCCAGGGCTCCATACAGAGAAAGTAGCAACCTCCTCGCTACCGTGACAGCATTACTCATCAACTGACTCTTCTGGTGGGCTGCAAACAGGGCAAGTAGCCTGGACAATAAAAACCTTCCTACCTATCTTGATAATAACCCTGCCTTACATCTGCATCATTGTCATAACACACAAAAGGACTTTCATATATACCATCTCACATGATTCGTTCTCCCCTGTGAGTTACAAAGTCATGGATTACAATCAGATGTTCCAGGAGCAAGTCAGTGCCGAGAAGGGTACAAAACACAACCTAGGGAATAGGCTTAAGAAATGATGGAGCTGGGATTCAAGCGTAAGTCTTCCTACTTCTAATCTTAACTTCAACTCATCCAGTCATGACCAAACACCCCCATGGCGAGCCCTCTCGCCCTTTCCTTCCACACTAGGCCAGCTGGGCAGGCTCTGCCAAGTAGATACTATTCTATCAAAACCCTCCTCTTCTTTCCCAGGAAGGAAAAGTATGTGCCCATCTGAAGTCAGATGGTCCTAGGTGAGGGCTAAGCGTGTACCTGCCCGAGCATGGAGCACACCTGTTTACATGGCAATCAGAGTCTCACACACGGCTTCTGGGACTTTTAACCTCCGCTGACAGTCTTTCGCTCTGCTAGAATCAAGGCTCATTTGCTAATTAAAGGGTATTATGCACTTCATTGCTCACCAGCTAAGAACTTGGAATAAGGAAGAGTCTGCAAAAGCATTAGCCCTGGAGATAGCACCAGGTCCGCTTTACAGAAAAAGAAAACTGGGAAAACAATCCACCTGGGACACTCCCTCCCCCATACTTTACTGGTCTACTAAGCCAGCCACAGATCACAGAGGAGGAAGCCACCCAGCATAGCACAAACCCAGGGAGAGTCCAGCAAATGAACCAAAAGCAGAGCAGTGCGGGGCACAGAGAATGAATGAGAGAGAAAGATGGTGAGCTGTCTTCTCCCGTAGCCACCTGTGAGGTCTCAGGTGTGTCCCAGGCCAAGGACAAGTACACCTGGACCCCAGGCCAAGAGGCCAGGGAGACCAGGATGAGTGGGAAGGATCAGCCTTCACTGCAAGGTCCGGGAACAAACTTGACATCACTGTCCACCCTTGAAGCCTGGCTGCTCATTGCAATCAATGGGCGAAACAGATCAGCATCCCGCCTGGAGCCTGTTCCAGGATTCCTGGAGTGGGAGCCCTTTCGGACACTCTCCTGCCCTTTTGGACACAAGCCAGCCCTGAGACCCATTCCCTCTTCAATGCAGGGGGAAGACTGAGGGGTCAGTCCAAGGAAGGACACTCAACCTAGATCAGTCTTGAATCTGGTGAGGATGACAGGTAATGACATGACACTTACTAAGTAATCATTTGTATCCACAGGCAGCTTCCCAATTGAAGTGATAACCTGCCAACGTCAAAGGCTCGGGTCAGGATCTAAAGCCTGATCTTTGGCCTCTCGGGACCCCAGGGACCCGAACAACAGGCTGAGTATGAAACAGCAGCTGGGGATCAGAGAACCTTGAATTCTAAATGGAACTCGGTCATGAGTTGAGAGGAAGTCGCTAGGTGGACAAGTGGTTATGCGGATGCTTGAGAGAACTTGGTCCAGAGGCTGCTATCCACCATGGTGGCTCTGGGGCCACCCTCTCTCTCTCTCTCTGCTCTCTGCATGTTCCGTGTGTGTTCAGGCAGACAGAGGAACAGCTGAGTGTGTTTCTGAGCTGCGTGGTGCAGTGGAGAAGCTGAGTGTTGCCACAGCACTAGAAAAGCACGGGGTGGATACAATGATGGTTTCAGCCTCCAAGAATGAGGTTCTCCCCCCCATCTCTCCCCAAGCCACCTAAGACATCATTTGTGCATGACATGTTTTCGGATCCTGTTTGCTCCAATTTAGAAAGGCTTCCAGGACAGCTGGTCCCTTCCCCCAGCTCAGACCCGCTTCCTCTTCAGCCTCCATATACCACAGCCTGATTCTGCTGGGCTCTTTTGCTCAGTGTTTCAAACAAATCACACAGAACAACTCCCCAAAGAAAGAGAGCTCTACAGTCAGTGAGAAGCAGTACCCTCTCCTTCCCCGCCCCCCGCAACACTCAGGCACTCTTGGCTTTTCTAGAGAAGACCAGAGACAGCCCACAGCAAGCACAGAGGCTGTGGGCAGAGATTGGCTGTAGCATTAAAAGAAACTCAGAGCAAGAGGCTGGTAAGGTAGTGGATCTGAGAGCGGGAGGGGAATGGATGTATCACAGAGCAAGGTAGGGCATGTCTTAATTAAGCAGAGGACCTCAGACGAGAGCTGACGACAGAGTCGGGTCTCTCTGCCATTTGCCACGCCGAACTTACGACTGCAATTTGGCTCAAGGTTCTGAGACTCAAAAGCTCTAAGGCAGCTTTGGGAGAAGCAGCCACACTGGGCTTCCGGAGGGTCCCAAGGCCCCTGATGTCCCAGGCCCTCCTGGGAGCCAGAAGCTGTCGGCAGCAGCAATCAGACCTGTGATGCCAAGTTCTGCGTAGCAGCCCACTAATTAGGCAGACACAGCTCTCCTCCCATCCTTTCTCTGCCCCTCCAGGAAGCCCCTGCCTGAAAGGGAGCCACCTCCCCCTCCGCGTTTGCTCTTTACTCAGCTCCACACTCCTCCTCCAGGCTTTGGAATCTCGCAGCTGCTCGCCCCCTCCCCACACCACTCCTCTCGTAGCCACGTTGTTAAGCGATCATCATCATCGTACAGCTAGCAAACTGAGCCTCTGAGTTTCCAGCTGAAACTCCCAGACCAGCCAGCCTGCAAATGCTGTGCCCTCGCAGGCATCTCACGGACCCTCCTGCCTCCATCTAAACCCTCCTCTCTGGGCCAAGCACCCTGGACATCTCTTTGCTTTTGACCTGCCAGCAGACCAGACAGAGACCCTGGGGTCCCCGGCCTCTCCTCTCCTGACACGGGGCTCAGAATCCACACAGGAAAAGGCAGCAAAGAGACTTCCACACCTTTGCAGCATCACCTGCTCCAGCAAGCTCCCAAAGCCACTGGAACCAGCCAGGCTGCCTGGGGCCCCACACCCCCTTCTCTGGCAGCTTTAAGCTCCAGCCCAGCCCACAGGATGCAGGGCCTGATGCTACTTCCGAGCAGAGAGAGAGAGGGGAAAAAAAAAAAAATGCCACCTCGTCAATGACAAGCTGTTCCAATCACACAGCTCAGACACCAAGTGCCCTGGACCACGGACAGCTCGGGCCTCCTCCCTCCGGGCGGGTGGAAAGCAACTCGGCACATCTGGGGGAGCCATCGCCCAAGGCCAGGCCCCCCGCTCGCTCTGCACATCCGGCCAGACAACAGTGCCCCATCCCAGCGGGCAGACGCCTCCTGCCAGTTCCAACAACTCTGGCCAACTCCCCTCTTGGCCTTCAACCTGAGGCACGGCTCTCCCTCCTGCTCCAAAGCACAGAGACCTCAAACCGAGCCAGAGGCCACCAGCGTGGCACTTCTCCAAAGGACCAAGCACAGAAAAGAACTGGATGCCAAGTACTCACGGTGGTGAAGTCCTGGTGGCCACACTCCTGCCCCTTGAACTTGCAGTAAAGCATCATATCCTTCAGGTCATGGCCCACACGGTGCAGGAACTCCAGCATGCTGAAATGCTTGGGTTTGTAGTGCTTGAAGTTGGCCTTCTGCTGCAGGGCCTCCAGCACTGTGGGGTCGGCCAGGTGCGGGTCGGGGATCTGCAGGTTGACGTCCAGCAGCGCCAGCAGCTCCCCGGCGTGGTACAGGTCATTGGTGGTGAGCCTGGAGAAGCGGAAGCCGTTGAGGTTGCAGAGGGTCACGGCCGGGAAGACCAGGCTTTGGGCCACCACCTCGTCCACCTTGGTGACGTGCTGGTAAGAGAAGTAGTAGGACACTCTCTCCGAGCTCTCCACCAGCAGCAGGCCCAGGGAGCCCACGAAGGCCACGGCCCAGAGCACACGCCGGACGGTCAGCGGCCCGTAGACAAAGATGTGGCGGATGCCGTGGAGGGTGGAGGTGTTGGCGAAGATCTGGAGGCTAGAGGGCTGCAGGCTCCCCTCGCTGGGGCTCTCCTTGAGGTCCATGGGGACCCTGTGCAGTTCCGCAACTGGCTTCAGGTTGATCAGATTTCAGGGAAAGAGTTCCCAGTCCTCCGGGCTCTGCTTAAAGCTTGACGTTCAAGGGAGGGAAGGAAAAGCCAGCATCAGACAGGGCAGCACCACCGGAGTTTATCCTGAGAGCCCAGCCGCACGCTGCCAGGGGTGAGTGTTTATATTAAAAAAAAAAAAACCCATTCAAACTCTAGCTTCTGATTTTTTCCAGGCGATAAGGAGGGCTGGTTTTATTTAGGGAGACACCAAGGTGATGTGGAAGAGATGTGGGTGGGAAGGGAGAGCTTAGCCAATGGAAATAAAGTCCTCCCCCCTACACACGCCACTAGAGACAAGATTAAAAGCGAGAGCGAGGGAGAAAATGCTTAAAACAAGTCGCTCAGCAGCTCGGAGCCTGTTAACCAGTGCATAATGCCCCGTGTTCAGCATCCTGGGTATGTCAGGGCAGCCACGCTGATGCACTGCGGGAGAAAAGCGAGGACCTAGAGGGCGCCGAGAGAGCCGGCCTCCCTCACCCCCTCCACCAGCAGGCTGTTGGGATGGGGAGAGGGCCGGTGGGGGTGGGGGAGAGGGTTGCTGGGGGCCCGAGGGACCCGGGGAAACTTTCTTTTTGGTCTGTTTTGGAGGGAGCTAGTGGGGGCCTCTACCCCCATGGGGAGAACCAGCCCCCCACCCCGGGAGGGAGGACGTGACAGCCGCCCCCTATAGGTGGCTGGAAGGTACCTCGATCGACTCCCAGGAGCCCAGTATGGGGGTGGAGGCAGCAAGCCTTCGCACCAAGATCTGTTCCCAGGTCAGCCCCAGCCTTGGGTCTCCAGACACAGAGATGCTGGAAGCTGGGAAAGGAAGGGAACCCTGGAAAACCCCTGATGCCTGCAGGAGGGGGAATTCGAGGGTACCAGGTGCCCCAGGCGCCCCTGGGAGACCACAGGCAGAGCAACAAGTAGCCTCCACCTCCGCAGAGATGTCAGGAGATTTTTGCATCTGAAAGAGAAAGACAGCTGGGGTTCCAGGTAGGACTGGCTGCCCTCCCTTGGGCTGTGTGTATGTGTGTGTGTGTGAGTTCTACCCCAGGATTTGCCAGATGGAAACACAGCTGGAGCTATAGATGGGAGAGAAAGACTGGGCTTCCAGCCACCTACCTCCTTTTTTCCTGAAAATCCACTGGAAGTCAGCCCCTGCTAGCAGGTGGGTGTGGCTTACCCAGTGCCAGGGATCAAAGGGCTGGAACCTATACAATCAGTGAGGCTAAATCCCCTTCAGGAGGAAAGGAACAGAAAGTTCCAGTGGCCAACCCAATGCACACTGCCAAGCTGGGGCAGAGCCACACGGAGATGCTGTGTGGAGCCAACCTGATGTCCCCAGGGCATGCCCAGCTTCAATAACACTCCTTGAGAAGAAAGCAGTTTAGGGAACGTCGCTCTTGGTTTATATCTACTTCGAAATATTTCTCTATCCCATCTGCCCTCTCGCTTAACCAGATCCAAACTGGGAACAGAGTCTGGATGTGCACTGAGGCAACACATGGCATTAAATTGATGGTTTATCGATCCTGGGAGCTTAAAGAACAGAAGCATCCCAAATAAGGACAAATGACAGAGGCCAGTTAACTTCATGCATGTGTCAGCCCAGAGGTTCCCAATCCCTGCCTCAAGCCTCCGAGATGGGGGCAGGGCTTCAAAACAGGGGGTGCCAAGACTAAGAATCTATCATAGGCTCTCCTGGTTGTCCAGTAGTTAAGAATCCGCCTATCAATGCAGGGGACATGGGTTCGATCCCTGATCCAGGAAGACCCCACATCCCGCGTGGCAACTAAACCCATGTGCCACAACTACTGAATCCACATGACCTAGAGCCTGTGTTCTGCAAAAAATAGTCGTCACTGCAGTGAGAAGCCTGTGTACCAAACCTAGAGAGTATCCCTGACATGCCACAACTAGAGAAAGCCTTCACACAGCAAAGAAGACCCAGCACAGCTGAAAATGACTGAATTTTTTTTTTTTTAAAGAATCTGTTGTGTGTCAGGACTGGGCAAGGATGTCGTATCATTTCACTTAATGCTTTCAACCACCTTGACAGGTATGTGTTATTACCCCGTATATACACACAAATAGAGGCTCACGAGGGTAAAGTCACACAGCTCCTGAGTAAATCTGTTGTGTGTCAGGACTGGGCAAGGATGTCGTATCATTTCACTTAATGCTTTCAACCACCTTGACAGGTATGTGTTATTACCCTGTATATACACACAAATAGAGGCTCACGAGGGTAAAGTCACACAGCTCCTGAGTGCCCAAGCAGGATTTGAACTCAGGCGTTTGCCTCCAAAACACGGGCTCAAAGGCATAGTCAAAACATGCCTTCCCAAATTTAGGAAGAGGACGAGCATTTCTGCTCTACTTTGGTTGCTCAGCTGGTAAAGAATCCACCTGCAATGCAGGAGACCCTGAATCGATTCCTGGGTTGGCAAGATCCCCTGGAGAAGGGATAGGCTACCCACTCCCATATTCTTGGGCTTCCCTGGTAGCTCAGCTGGTAAAGAATCTGCCTGCAATGCGGGAGACCTGGGTTTGATCCCTGAGTTGGGAAGATCCCCTGGAGAAAGGAAAGGCTTCCCACATCAGTATCCAGGCTACCCACTCCAGTATTCTGGCCTGGAGAATTCCACGGACTGTATCGTCCATGGGGTTGCAAAGAGTCGGACACAAATGAGCGACTTTCACGTCCCCCATTTTACACACACATACACACAAACTCACCTTGTACTCCACGCTGACCAGCTCCTCCTCCGCAGACGTGAAGCAGCCCTCCTCTTCCTCTCCACCGAGCCAAGTCCCTTTTGGCCACGTTTGTCATAGCACCAGGCCCTCCTCCTCCAGGACTGCCTCCCTGATGCACATCTGTAGTCTTTGGCTCATTGACCTGCTCAACAAGTCTGTGGATCTCTGACTCCATACCAGACACTCTGTTGGTTTGGGGTAAACAGAAAGGAATGGAATATAGTTCCCACCCTTGATAATTCAGGGTTCCACAAGGCTGGAGGCAGAGTTCATTTGCAAGCTGATCCTGTACATACGGAAGGCAGGGAGAGACCAAAGAAAGAGGCAGCCGCTGCAGATGGGTCAGTGACAGTTTTAAAAAGCAAGAGAACTTACACACAAGTCTTTGGTGCAGCCCGAGGAGTAGGTCTCTGCACCCAGTTTCAGAAGCTGAAATAGAAGCCTTAGAGACCTGCCTGGTGGCTCAGTGGTAAAGAATCCGTCTCCCAATGCAGAGACACAGGTTTGACCCCTGCATCAGGAAGATCCCCTAGAGAAGGAAGTGGCAACCCACTCCACTATCCTTGCCAGGAAAATGCCATGGACAGAGGAGCCTGGCAGGCTGCAGTCCACGGGGTCGCAAAGAGTCAGACAGGACTGAGCAACTAAACAACAACATCAGTTAAGAGGCCTTAACTGGGCTCAGGAACATAGACCATCCAGATGGTCTCAACCCCACCTTTCTCAAGGCTGTGTCCTGAGGCATCTTCTAGCCCAGGAAATGCACACGCACAATCCAAAGACAGGGAAGAAGTGAGGAGACTCTGATTGCCCCGGACCTGTCCTCTTGATGACCTTTCCTAGGATTCCACCCCTCGTGACCTGCTCTAACTATTTCACACATGCAGCCCCCTCCTTGGAAACGTTCCCTGAAAGGTCAGCCTGGGTTTCACTCACATGGAGCTCATTAGATGGTTATCTGGCTACATTGGAGGCAGATGCCTCACCCACAATACAGGTGCATGCAAGAGAAAACATAAGACAATCATTCCCAAATCAATTTTTTTCCACCCAGAGCCCCGTGATCTGAACCACTGATTTATAAGTCCCCCTACAGTTTAGCCGCCTGATGCAAACAGCCAACTCTTTGGAAAAGACCCTGATGCTGGGAAAGACTGAGGGCAAGAGGAAAAGGGGATGACAGAGGATGAGATGGTTGGATGGCATCACTGATTCAATGGACATGAGTTTGAGCAAACTCAGGGAGACAGTGAAAGACAGGGAAGCCTGGTGTGCTGCTGTCCATGAGGTCGCAAAGAGTCGGACACAACTGAGCAACTGAATAACAACAATAATAGGCTGAGGTAGGATCATTCAGGGCATCCATTTGTGTCCTTGTGTTATTAAATAAAAAAAACACATTAGCAGACAGAAGACTCACCAGGTATGAACACACAACATTCTGCTTGGCTAATGGCCCATGTGTTTCCTGCAAGGCAGCAACGTTGTCCAAGGCCATCCTATGTTGGAGGAGAGCTTTTCTGATTGAGACGGTCAGGGTTCAGGAAGGACAGGCTTGGTTGGCTTTCATTCAAGGCTTCCCGGGGGAGTTTAGTAAGGGCCTGTGTGTGTGCTTCGGTGTGCTCCAGGCCAACGGAGGGGACAAAGACGGCGGTCAAACGATGGCACCGTGGGAATCAGAACGTGTCCCCCTGGCCTCAAGGAGAGGAAGGCGGCAGCTTCAGGAACTTGACCTGGTTGGGTATGCCGTTCTTCTTGGCTGGGGGAGGCAGCACTGTTGGGTGTGAAGAGATGAACTGGGTTGAGACAGGCCAGACCAGGACCGCACCTTCTCCCCTCAAAGGTGCATGTTCAACCTCAGGTCTAGCCTGTTTCCACAGGCCCAGGTTGCAGCAGGATGATGGGATTCCAGTGGCGACTCCTCCTCAACCAGGGATGCAGAGCANGCCAGACCAGGACCGCACCTTCTCCCCTCAAAGGTGCATGTTCAACCTCAGGTCTAGCCTGTTTCCACAGGCCCAGGTTGCAGCAGGATGATGGGATTCCAGTGGCGACTCCTCCTCAACCAGGGATGCAGAGCAACTCACCCATCCCAGTGGGATGTCCCATGGTAAATTCCAGCGGATGAAGCCTCTCCCAGGCCTGACAGGGCTTGATGTTCTCAGCGGCGCAGCAGGCTGATCCACAGTGAGAGTCCAGGCAGTGGTGGTTTCCCACCATTTCCACATGTTTGCCCACATCAGATGCCCGGCATAAGGGGCCATAGGCCCTACCTGACTGAGGTGGTTTTACCTGCTAGTAGTTTAATCTTCTGCTTTCATATCCCAGTTTTCCTCTCTACCGCCCCTGCTGCTTATAGGATATAGGCAAGAAGGAACCTCCAGTCACTGTCTTTTTTTCCACCCTATCTTGTACATCATGACCTTTGCAATGTGACCCCCATCACTATCTATTTGATGATGGTATCCATCCATGGTGCTCAGCCTTTATAAGCCCCCCAGAGGTGGCAGCCTGGTTTGCACAGTCCCAGGGGATAGCTTGGGTTAACCCAGACTCAGTGTCCACACCAACCAGGGCTTATTGAGAACCCTTGCTCAGCAGGAGGAGGCAA